TCCAACCATGTTCGTGAATTCAATAAGAATTGAGCCTTTCATAAATACAGAATGTTTTCGTGATGCGATTATATGTGGTGGGGAAGCAGACAGTTTCTTCACAGTCTGCTCAGCTTGTTTCGATTTCAATGTGATATATTTATCAGGAATTCAGGGGTAGAAATAATTTTAAAATTGATAGTGTACTCTGATACAGTGGCACATGTAAAGTAACTTGCCCTGATAATTTTTCCACTATACCGACCGTTTTCTTGGTGATGGTTTAAATAAACAACTAAATTAACATTGAAAAGTCAAATGGACACCGGTACAGTGTGATATACAGATTTGCTTGCCCGACAGAAAAAAAACAGTGGACATGGACGTTAGGCAAGGGGTTAATTGATAATTCCAACCTTGGGAGTTGTTTTTAATATGTCTTCATAACATACTACATGCCTTTACAAAACCTTCATCAATGCTTGCATATTCCAACATATTATTAAACATGGGTCTAAATAATATATGCATCCACCCTAAAACTATTATTTTTATCCACTACCTGCAAAAGAAGAAAACGATGGCTCCCTTGGCAAGCTAAAAATAGCCTTGACCTCCTGTATTATGGCCTACCTGGAGGTATTTACAAATCTTGCATGTACACCAATCTTTGTTATTCTTGAAAACAGTATAGTATTATCGATTGGAATTTATTAAAATATATAATCAAAGTTTGATTGTCTAATGATAAATTATCTGATCATTTGATCCATTGGTGCATCACTACAAATTATACCTTTCGAACACAAATAAATACCTTTGGTTCCTGTCGAGTCCAAGTCTGTTTTTGACTGTTTATGTTTAACCCCTGAAGGCACATAGGTTGACGCAGGATCTGGTAGATAAAACAATTCAATGAGATAAGTAATATCTGATGGTTTAAATTCATGCATGTAAATGAAATGGAACAAGTAACTCCTGTGATGATACTTTCGTCACACAGAGTCATAGTAATTAATTTTGTCATAGAGCTAGTATATTTTACTAATCATTGGGAACTTCAATGTTAATAAATACAACACAAAGCACATCACATTCCTGATATTGAAAACTTTTTGGCCCTTTTTATGCAAAACACCTTTCTTTTTACTGCCACAAAGATCGACATTAAATCCCAATTTCTGAAGAACAGAATTTGCTGAAATCAAATAATTTATTTTAGACGAAGGATGCACAAAGAATTTCTTCCCGGATAATGAAATTATATCTTTGGTATTGTCACATCAATTTTAAAACAACAAATACAAGCAATCACAAAAGTATCATCACAGGAATACAGAACTTGGAGGTTTGAACCGCACTCAGCAATATTGCAGCTATATGGCGGCTGTCTGTTAACCATGTCAGCGAGCCTGACCACCCGATCCCGTAGGTCGCCCCTTACGACAAGCATGGGTTACTGAAGGCCAGTTCTAACCCGAGTCTTCTCGGGTCTTAAGACTGAATTATACAAGCTGAAGATGTGATTTTATCAAAATATTGACAAATGTGACAGGCTCACGCGATTTTTCAATACAGAAGCAAATATTTTTAACTTAAACTTCGATCATTTACCTTTGATTCCCACAACGACGGCGCGGTAGTTTGACACAGAACTTTGCCTAAACTTCTTTCCTGGTTGGTGAAGAAATTGTCAGAGATTTTTCCGTCGTACCAAAAGAGTAGACAACATTGGAAGTTCACACGATCAGTGTCGTCCATAGATGCAGTCATGTTCGGTACCGCCATGTTCAGATTTTAGAAAAGCGCCAAAATCGCTTCCAGCCAATTAGAGGTGCTCTTTCTTTCGATGTCATAATTGAACCAATGCCAAGACACGTTAATCAGTTGAGTTGTGTTTTTGTCTCTTCAAAATAAATAACATATCTAAAGAAGCAAATACGACTCAATACAGTTTTTAAAAAGCTCCATAAGATTTATGGTATCATTTATATATATTTTTAATACATACTTTAAAAAAATCACGATCGACGAGATCATCCGGTACCAGCCATCGTTCTAAAATGGCGGATGCACCCGACTCAAGGGAGGTAGATTTACCGATTCCATCATGAAAAGAAGGGAAATACCGTCATATACACAATGTCAAATTTGAATGTCTCATCTGTGGTCGGAAACTGGCTTCAAAACAAAACGTTTTAAGTCATTTTCACACTTTACATGGACTAAGCGAGTAGTTGTTTACATCAGTGTTCGATCGGTTTTGCGAAAATTCAGAATTGACGCGAGTCTCGACTGCACGCATAAATTAATATTCAGACTGGACCCAGAGACATCGTAAAGAAATAAACATCCTGATATTGTCCACACATTCATGTTTGGCATATTAAACATTTTAAAAGGCCCCATAGACATATTGGTGTAGATAACGTGAAAGATCCATTACAAATTAGGAAGTGTGTAAAATCTACAGCAGTTACGTGCGATTACTTATCGGATAAGTAAAGTTTTGTCTGTTTGAAACACTACTACTCACAATCTAAGACACGTTTCTGCTGTAGATGTTTTCCAACTTTAGATTTTTGAATGTTTGGCCTAATTTTAAGAACCTTACAGCACCACAAAAATATGTCATAATACCCTTTTACGTGCAATTGTTGTGATTTCGTACAAAGTAATGCGTTCTCGAGCAGTGCCCTTTTAGCAATTATTAAAATATATTATATTTCAGTTTAAACGTAACTTGTATACAGAAAGCCAACTTGGCTGTGTCCCATTTCTTCAAATTGCTTAAAAGTTTGTCTCCTCTGACTCTTGTCTTTGATGCTGAAAAATCCATCTGTGAAACTGTGTTATCATAGCCTCATTCATTTTTTGAACCAGTAGTGAATACAAACACCCACTCTCCAGCTCTCGATCTTGTCAGATTCCCTCAAACTGACCACAGCTACATCAAGCATGTAAGCAAAATTGTACAAATCAGATTCAGATAATTTAAACTTTCTTAAATATGTTGAAAATATTTTTATGCTTCACCTTTACAAAACCACTGATATAACATGAATAAAAGTATTGTATCTTGTAATATTTTGTCTGTATTTTCTATTCAATGTAGTTTACTCTGGAAATTTACAGTGAATAAGATTAGTCTTAGTTCATGAACAAAAACTTCATGAAGTAAAATATAACTTCATGAAGTGTAAAATAACTTCATGAAGTTGATGAAGTGTGTCTTCATGAAGAATTAACTTCATGAAGTTGATGAAGTCTTCATGAAGTGTGTCTTCATGAAGAATTAACTTCATGAAGTCGATGAAGTCTTCATGAAGTGTGTCTTCATGAAGAATTAACTTCATGAAGTTGATGAAGTCTTCATGAAGTGTGTCTTCATGAAGAAGGTTCATGAAGATTTTGGTTGAAGTTGATGAAGACTTCATGAACTCTTCGTGAACTGAGTTTCGCAGGGGCTAGTAGTACAGTTGGGTCGCTTCTCCACCTTGGAGTCGCTAAATCCACATTGAAATGTTAACAGAAATAGGACCAAAAGTTAACTATTGTGGTCCCCCCATCAAAAGGCAGCTGAAAGAACACATTTGCTTACAGCAGCAGAATTTAGCATAATTACAGTGCCATTAGGGCGGTGGGGTAGCCTAGTGGTCAAAGCGTTGGCTCGTCACGCCGAAGACCCGGGTTCGAATCCCCACATGGGTACAATGTGTGAAGCCCATTTCTGGTGTCCCCCGCCGTGATGTTGCTGGAATATTGCTAAAAGCGGCGTAAAACCAAACTCAGTCAGTACAGTGCCATTATGAAGTTCCCGTAGGTTTTTTTTATTTTGACGTAAAATTCACTAATTAAATCCAAAAGTGATTTTTCCCACCACCTTCTCCGTCGGATTCTACAAGCAATTAAGCATGAGTCAGGATAAGGAAAAACATGTAATTTTCTGAGTAAAATTGATATTTTATACTTATCCTGACTCATGAGGTAAGCCCTCCCAACCTCCCCACAAGACACTTTGGATTTCCCTGTAAATTCAAGTGTCGGGCTCATATTCAGGAGAGAGTGAGAACAGTGGCGCCAGTTCCCGCCAAAACGGAAGGAGGGACAACTCTTGGTGAGTAGTGATTAGTGATTTTACATTGAAGGGAGCTTCAATAGGAGATACAAGTGTTCCACTATGTTCGCAAGAAGAAGAAGACAAGCAATTAAGCATGAGTCAGGATAAGTATAAAATATCAATTTTACATCTTTATTTCAGAAAATTACTAACTGTAATTGCAAATGTTTTATGTCCTGCCATTGTTATAATTCAGTGAACAGTTTGCCTCCAGTGTGTGATTCTAAACTGCTAGTGATTGTTATTGGCTGAGCCTAAAGAATTTCACAAATCATGAAGTGTGTTGTATTATCAGTCAATTTATAATACTGGACTGAACCGAAATAAACAACAACTGAATCCAAAATTAATTGATGGTAAATATTGGTGGTATACCGTTGTAGCTCTAATGACCGAGCATGACCATCTCATACCCTTTATCTCCTCTTACAAATCACCTCTGGAGATATCTGGCACACACCACTTGATTTCTAAGAATTTTCGAAGACTGCACATGCTTAGAACCTAGTGATTTTGCGTACGATGATGATGATGATGATAATGTGTTCTTCTATAGCGAAGTTCCATACACTGAGCACATGCTCAAAGCGCATACAAATTAAACATCATAAGATAGTCTGAAAATATGGGTCTTGAGCTAAGTTCTGAATGAATCAAATGATAGTTTGGGATGAGTATTGGTTGTATATCCATGTTAGATTGAAAAAAAATCAACGACTTAGGCTATGAACTTTTAGTGTATTTGTCACCAGAACTGAAATAAAGAAGGTAACATTCTGTCTAGAAATATTGAAAATGTCTGATGCTTCCTGCAGAAATCTTATGATTCACAAGTTATATATCCATTCTCAGAAACATTGCTTCAATAATTCTGATGAGACCATGATTTTGTCCTTTCCAGAAGCAAAAAGCAGTTTCCTCGGAAGAGGAAGTTCCTGTTGCGAATGAGGCAAATACTGATCTGCCTGTAGATGGCACTGATGATCAGACGCCTGTTGTTAGGGGAGACAACTCTGCACATGACATATCAGATGCTGTTGAAGATGACGAACCAACAGCATCGCCTGAAAAACTTGAAACCAGTGAAAAGTTAAAAGAAACAGAAGAAGTTACTAAGGAAGAAAAAGAGGAACCACCGTCCTGCTGTGGAAATTGTTTGCAGAAAATGTTTTCAAGTTTCGTAGTTCTCTACAAAGGGTGGCGAACATACATGATGTATGATGTGGCCAAGGCTGGACTTGGATTGGCCTGTCTGTACATGACAGTTCTCGGCTTCGATAATATCACCACAGGTAGGTCAATCTACGAGAAGTTGTGCCAGGAACAGTGTTGGAATGCACGAACATGTTATCACTTTGTTACCCATGCAGATCTGGATTAGAATCCCATGCTCGTTGTAAGAGGCAGCTATCAAGATGGGGTGACTTGCAATTAGTTGGCACGTGTAATCATATCCCAATTGTGTAGATCAATACTCATTATGTTAATCATTGGATTGTCTGGTCCAGTCTCAATTATTACTTCATCGCTGGAATATTGCGGAGTGTGGCGTTAAACAACAAACAAACAAAATGTCACTTTGTAAACAAGTTTTTGGGGCTCCATCAATTTTGGATTTTAGTTTGTAAGGTAAACTTTAGCATGATTATATGCCCACAAAGCTGGATGAATGGAAATATTTCATGCAGGAGATACTTGTTATTTCGTTGAAAATATCACAGAGAGATTCAGTTATGTTGTATGTTAATGATAGCTCATGCATTTAGTAAGATTCAAAATGGAGTAAACTTCTGCTTCCCACACTTCTACATAATGGAGATTCGTGAAGATCCGAGTTAGAAGTGGTCTGCAGTAACCCATGCTTGTCGTTAGAGGCAACTAAAGGGTTTGGGTAATCAGGTTCGCTGACTTGGTTGACACGTGTCGACCTAATCCCAATTGCGGAGATCGATGCTCATGCTGTTGATCACTGGATGGTCTGGTCCAGACCCAATTATTTACAGATAGCCGCCATATGGCTGTAATATTGCTGAGTGTGGCATTTAACTAAACTCGCTCACTCTACATAATGGAGGAATGCCGTGACATAAGAAAACATTCAGATGTTGTTGAGATATAGTTTGAATTTGCTGTGATCAAAACCAAACATTCACTTTCTCTTTTATTGCAGGCTATGCCTACTCTCAAGGAATATCCGAGTCCGTCCTTGGAGGCTTCATGGGAGGTGCTGCTGTAATAGGCATAATAGGCACCCTGGCCTACCCAGCACTCCGGAGATGTGTAGGCCTGGAGAGGACCGGACTGTTCGCCCTGTCCGCGCAGATCACCTGTTTGACGTTGTGTGTCATGTCAGTGTGGATGCCAGGGAGCCCATTCAACCCATATTACTTCTTTGAGGACCATCCTTCAAGCAATCAGACCACCTGCTCTACACGGGCAATGTCAGTCAACAACTCGTTGGCCACAGCATCTTCACTTGCTGTGTCTTTCAACTCCTCGTATTCCTCGACGGCTGCAGCAGGGCTGAAGACCCCAGGGGTGACTGCTGTGCCCATGTCTGTCAATCCTGGCAACAGCACGACACCTGGTGTTCCGGGCTGTGTGGAGGACACTGGTCCAGAGTCCTATCTCTCCATTGGCCTTCTCATGGCGGGGATTATCACTGCTAGATTTGGTAAGTTCCATGATTTCATGCTTATTGGGATTTGAAATGCTGTGTTTTACAATATAGACATGACATTTAGAATAATGATGGTATCACTAAGATAAGTTCCTATTCCTTTCTGAAAATAAGCATCAAATTATGAATCATATGATGGTTTCTTTTGCCGTTTTAGCGATATCATGGCGGGAGATAGGTTTCGCACATTGTGCTCTTGTTTGGAATTGCATTCATCTCAGTTTGTACCAGCTGTGATCATAGTACTGTCAGAGGGTGTGAGTTTACGTGCTCCAAGATGAACTAATAATCATCTTCAGCCTCCACCTCCTTGTCTCTGGTCAACCCCATTCTCCAACTAATGGCAGGTGTTGCACTGTCTGTTTTGTGAACATGATCATTCCCAGGAAGTTAATTTAAGTTCTATGGCATAGTCTTCCCAGTTGGACCCCAGACCTGCCAGACACTATCCCTCCTCCACTGATTTCACATTTTGACTATTTTAGTTTCAATATTAAACTGAAAATACCTTCTACAATTCTCTGTTTCAGGGTTGTGGGTGGCAGATCTCACGATCACACAACTGTTCTTGGAACGGGTGAAAGAACATGAACGTGGGAAGGTGAATGGCGTTCAGAACTCTCTCAACAAGTTCATGGATGTGCTCAAGTTCATTCTTGTGGTTGCTCTTCCACAACCGCCCGTGTTTGGTTACTTGGTGATTGTATCGTTCGCTTTTATATGTCTTGGCTTTGGGCTTTATGCGTCTTACTCCAGACGGGCACGAGGTCATCTTCTACCATTCCACAAGAAATGCATCACAACAGAGGAGGCCAATCAGGCAGCTGCAGCTTAAAGTTGCCTTACATTTACCTAGGTCCACAGAGTGATCACAGCTTTACAACTTAGTCTGTATTTATGTCAGGGAATTAGCACCTGCTTGAACCCATTGCTTTCTCAAAGAATAACACTTTGACTCATAATGGGGACCTGTCCATAGTAGGTCAAGGTCAAGGGCAAATAAAGTGTATGGTTTCATTATTTTAAGCTAAGGGGCGGTAGGGTAGCCTAGTGGTTGAAGCGTTAGTCGTGTGGCCAGTGCACATGGAAAATATTTTATTTAATGTCATGGCACGCAAATTCAGCGCTATTTCGGTCACTATAGTAACTCGTTCAAAGAAACATTCCAACAACTGATTGTATTCATGTCGTTATTTTTTGTTACACCAGGGCCGGAGGGGTAGCCTAGTGGTTAAAGCGTTTGCTCGTCACGCCAAAGACTCGGGTTTGATTCCCCACATGGGTAAAATGTGTGAAGCCCATTTCTGGTACTTAATACTTAATAATGACAAAATTATCCGAATAATGTTCTTGATTCTCATTTATTGTAATTCTTATTACAGTTTCTTGCGTTCTTTAGACTTGTGGCAGCGACTGCTTAAAACATTTTAGATAGATAAACATTTTATATGACGAGGCGGTGCATTTCAGGTTTCAGGTTTGAGTCGGCGGTGTTGGAATGAAAAAAAAAGAGTTTGGAGGGTGGGGTGGGGTGTCGGCAATAAAATAAAATTACAAGGGTCGGTCGGGTGATGAGAAACACAAAATATGAAAATGCTGCCCTAAGTATGATATGTCACAATCAGGGTTCTATCATACAACCCTGTGCTCACAGGTGGTGCCTTCTATTAGAAGTTAGACCATCATTGAAAATAATTTACATTACAACGCTGGCTTTCCAGTTTCTTTGTCAACACCTACACATTCTTGTGTTCTTGACACACTTTTCTACATGATGTAATACTGTGTCAAGCATTTAGTGCTTGGTTTGGGCAACTTGCTGAACTGTGTCATTTTAGCATGACATGAACTGACAGTGCTCACATGGCATGCCTAATGTTGATAATGGTAGTCTGATTATCAACTTATACACACCTCACATATGACATTACCCGTGAAGATCTTGGGTTAGAATATTGATCTTCAGTAACCCATGCTTGTCGTAAGAGGCGACTACCGGGAACGTGTGGTCAGGCTTGCTGACTTGGTTGACACGTCATCGGTTCCCAATTGCGTAGATCGATGCTCATGTTGTTGATCACTGGTCTGTCTTATTTACAGACCGCCAACATATAGCTGGAATATTGCTGAGTCTGGCGTAAAACTACCCTCATTCACATCATCACTCATTCACTAACTCACTCACTTATTAACCAGGAGTGTTTATGAGATTTGTGTGGCTTTTATTTGTTTTCAACTAGACAATTTTTAAACAAGAAGTTCTAGTATGTGTATAAGGATATATGTTTTACACCAAAGAAATTGATGTTTTCAAGTTTTAGATCCTACCATCATACATAGTTTAGTCATCAATCAGATAGGTAGCCTGTGGTCTGAGGTGCAGTAACTGGCTTTGCAGAGTCACCTCTCTTAGACCCACCAGAATCCTACAACCTCAAATCCAGGTTTCACTTGATCATGTTCTAGGCTTATTGGCACCTTGGTGTGCTTGTAGTGAAGTTGTATATACATCTGGTTTACTCCAGTCTTTCCTACTGCCACTCCAAGAAGAAGATGAAATATTCTTCAAAGTGTAAAACCCAAAGTCTGATCACCATAGTAACAACATGGTCGGAATATATTGATGAGTGTTTATTATGAGCACAGGTTTGGAATTGTATCCACATTTTGCTCAATAGAAGTGAATGTAGTTACATACATGTAATGTCACTGTGTGTTTTCATATTAATGTTTGTAGACATTTTAATACACAGTTACCTTGATTTGGTGGAAATACTATCATATTTGTGTAGAATATGACTACATACTAATTTAGTTGTAACATTATGATGTTTAATGTTTTGTACATACAAGAGTTTATTAATTTCTGTCACAGAAGGTTTTGTTTCTCTTAGGGCTTAGCAAGGACCAGAGACAGTAAAGATGCATATAACCAATTGTTATTTAAAACATGTAAGTTTTTTCAGTTACGATATGTAAATTTAATTTTTACTTTTCAAATCGATGAAAGTAAATGTATGGTTAAAATGAAAGTAATGCTCAAAATTTGATTATTGGTTTATCCCTGATTTTACAGTGCGTTATATCTTCTTTTGGCAAATATCCAGGACCTATGTTACCATCGACACCTCTCATGATTACCTTTACACTGAATCTCTTGCTCATGAGCTTGAGTTGTGTTCTGATGATATGGTTTCTTCTTTCAAATTATTAGTCTGACAGAATCTAGATGATTAAAAAGGGAGCCCTCTAATGATTTCGCAAGTCTAAATTGCCTCAGTTCCTAAAATTAAAGGCACTATTTCACATCTCACCCACTTCTCTAAAAAAAAATGATGAATTTCTCTGAGGATTTCAGCTGTGTTCCTTGACGAACATTTTGTAAAAGTACTATCAGCCCTCAGGGAGGCTACCATACAATTTATTCCCAAAACAATTACATGTTTAAATTAAGATATAAAGTTAGAATGAATTTGTGCAACATTACCGTTGCATGAAATCGACTCTCGCGCCCTCTACGGGCTGAACATTGTTTCAAGCGAACACGATAGAGTTATGTCCCTTGGAATGCTCTTCAGGCCAAATAAAAAAAATGTTGTGGTTCCAATTACACATCTTTAAAATTTTGGGTAGGTAGGTAGGATTTTTATTTTATTTTATACCTTTTTTTTAGAAGTAAATTGTTTATTCTCTATCAGAATGACCAATGTCTGTCAGTCCCGGTAAAAAACAATGGTATCTGAAAGCTTATTTTATTCGTACCTCTTTAAAAAAATAGGTTTGGCACCAGAATTCAAGGGTCGGTCGGGTAATCAGAACCACAACATTGTTTTTTAAGTCCTTACACATATCATATGCACAACTCGTGATTGGAACCAGATTGGCAAACACAGACAACACCGCGTGCGACGATGTACAGAGTAATTGTTTACATCCCATATATAGCAAGTGTTCTCTGTTTAGAAGCTGTTCTCCTCAAAGTTTCAATTATCGATTTCAGGGAAATAAGTCTTCTATTGCATCAATATCAAGCTAAAGTGTATTATATGTCCCAGTATATAGGCCAAAATATTGTCGAAAACGTGTGAAAATTGTGGCTTTAAGGATAATTATGGGCTCTATTTGGATTTTTTTCAACTTATATGGCTATAATACATATATAACTGTAAAAAAGGTATCTGTATTTCTGGGACTGAATGTCTTATCAAATTCTGCACTACTAGTTATGTGCTTTGATAAATTACACAGTATGACCTCAAACAGTGAATACATTCCTGAAGCCCCCACAAACTTAGTGTGAAAGCAATGCCTAAACTTGATAAAATACATTGTATTACACTACTAGTTATTCAAACTCTGCACTACTAGTTATGTGCTTTGATAAATTACACAGTATGACCTCAAACAGTGAATATATTCAAACTCTGCACTACTAGTTATGTGCTTTGATAAATTACACAGTATGACCTCAAACAGTGAATATATTCAAACTCTGCACTACTAGTTATGTGCTTTGATAAATTACACAGTATGACCTCAAACAGTGAATATATTCAAACTCTGCACTACTAGTTATGTGCTTTGATAAATTACACAGTATGACCTCAAACAGTGAATACATTCAAACATGGATTTGTTGCAGAACTTATCTAGTTTGGTTTGCAAACTTTACAACATACAGACGTCAGTTACTTTTCTGATCCGATTCACTCTCGCTATCACTTTCTACACCCAGTTCAATTATAACTTTTCTATAACATTTCCAACTGCAATATTTTTGTCCCAGTAGTCGCCTTAAAACCCGAATCGGAAACAATAAACCATCTGTAGCTTCTTTTTTTTAAAGAAAGCTAGGACATTGCTGACGCTTTCTCGACACTGAGATGTCAAACAGCGACCTTGTCTCGGCTGTTCGGACTTGTTGACAGTCAACTGACAAAGGTGCACCCCTACACAATAATAGATCCAACCAGTTGTGACACTTTTGGAAATTCCCTTCTATATATAAATATAAAAGGCTGATATGTACACCTCAGGAGAATTTAATCAGACGTGTACAGTATTACATTTACCATGCATATATAAAAAGGAATAGGTATTTAGAAACACTTTAGACTTCATTTGTAAGCTCTTGTTAACTTTGTATAGTTATATCTTGCATATGGGCCCTTGGCCTCGTTGCAAATAAACTCCTTTTGACTTTGACACGGTAACGCAATGCATTAGTATTCACTTAACATGTGGCGGTGTGTGGTTCTGTGCGTAGAGCTCAGGTCACAATAAGTTGAAGTTAAGCAACGGTGGTCGCGGACAGTCATCGGATGGGTGACCGTGTTTGCCAGCTTGACTCCTGAGAGTATCTAGGAGTTCAGTCCTGCCCCACAACGAAGCATATGTCATACATGTGAGTTTGTTCAAAACTGCCTCTGTCCACCCAGCAGTAATATTGTGTACCTGGTATGATACGATGGTAGTCTCAATTTGAACCGTGAGCGCCTGACAGGCGACCGGTTGTATTCTCCACAGGGAGCGTCCTGTACTCGTTGACCATAGGTAATATGTCAGCGCTTTGAGCATGCAATGTGCATTTCGGTCTACTCCTATTTGTGAGAACTCCCAGTGGTGAGACTCCCAGTTATGAGACAGTGGAGTAGGTAATTAAACAGAAAAGACACCTTACTCCCTGTCTGACAGAATGGATTAACCCTAGCTAATTACTAATTTGCTATGTAACTGAATCTTGTGGAGGTAACTTAATGAAACTTTATAAGATAAATATGTACTTAAAATATATTTGTGCAATAGTCAATATCGATGATGTCACATCCTCCATTTCATTTTGTATTTTATGTTTCATGGGAGCGGTATTAACATAAGCAGTAATGCTTGTTCACCAATCCCAACTCATTTTCATAAATAAAAATATAATATGTTTAAACCAAAATGACTTTCAGACTTCATAATAGTCAATAAAAACTGTTATCATAACTACATATTCTTCTGAATAAATGTAAT